TTACGGTAATTTTTGCCGAGTGGGATGTTAACAAAATATACCCTTTCCAGTTACAGATGTTCCCTGATGCTGGTGAGATGACACTATGTCTAGGATCTGCTTCAAATACTCCAGGAAAAAAAAAAAAAGAGTAGGGAGGAGTTAGGATAGCTCGTAACAGACTGGTCAGGTGGTGATCTTTGTTGAAGTCAGGCACACGACGGCTGATAACTCACTTCTCTTTACTCTGGTATATGTTTGGAGAAAAGATTCCCCCCTCCCCCCACCCCCCAACGGAGCAGACAGAAAATCACTGACGGTAACAGACAGGTAGAGAAGGTGGAAGTACTGGGCTGCTGGCTTGGGCATTTCAACATCAGAATAGCAATAAAGAATACAGCTAGGAGTAAGGGAGCAGGGCTTCCCTGGTGGGCCAGTGGTTACGAATCTGCCTGCCAACGCAGGGGACATGGGTTCGATCCCTGGCCCGGGAAGATTCCACATACCTTGGAGCAACTACATACCACATACCATGGAGCCCATGTGCCACAACTACTGAAGCCCATGCTCTAGAGCCCATGCTCCGCAACAAGAGAAGCCACCGAAATGAGCAGCCTGCGCACCACAGCTAGAGGGGAGCCGCCCCTGGTGCAACCAGAGAAAGCCTGTGTGCAGCAGAAAGAGCCAGTGCAGCCAAAGTAATAATAATAATAATAAAGAAATAAACAATGAGAGAGTAAAAGTGGCAAATGCCTGGATTTTGCGAAGAAAACTGTCCAGCTATAAACCCTTTGAAAGGCCATGGGGGTCCCCGCCGAGTGGCTTACCTGCGGGGGATAAAAGTAACAGATGCCCGCTCGGGTTGGATCTCCTTCTCCCTTCACCTGGGAACCATCATAGAGGAAAAAATAGTTCCACCTGCCAAGAGAAGAGAGAGGAGCTGTGTTCTCTTCCATCCCGTGAGCAGGGCCTCGTAACACGCAGCTTCCGGTGGCCCAGCCCAAGAGGGACTCACGCCTCAGTATCTGAAAAGCCTTCTGGGGGCCCCAGAGGAGAAGGAAGCCGAGAGCTACAAAGAGATAAGACCATTTCGTAAGTGCAGCCAACTCAAGCTAAACACACGCCTCCATCCAGCGATCTGACCCTCTGCCCCAAAAGACAGTGAGCAGCTAAGGAAAGATGGGGCGCCCACAACGACGCCTCTTATTTGAGACACTGCACCTTAACTCCGTACCCACGTGGTTTGGTAACGTGTCTTCTAAGACACTGATAACGAAGTAAGTTAGGGATGTCTCAGCTGCCCTCACAGCTGCTGGGCACGAGACCGCCTTTCTGCCACCCTGTCGCTTAACACACACTTGGCCGAGGGCTTGGGGCATGTGCTGTGTTCGCCAGCCCTGGGGCCACAGCGAGCAAAGGGACACAGGAAACATGCAGTCTCCAGGCAGGAAAGCACGTCTATACTGGGAAAGTGGGGGCGCCGCACCCCTCTCTGCCTGCCGAAGCCTGTCCCCAGGACTTCCCTGGGGGTCCGCTGGTGAAGACACCGCGCTTCCACTGCAGCAGGTGCAGGTTCAACCCCTGGCTGAGGAAGTTAAGATCCCAGATGCCACCTGGCTCAGCCAAAAAACCTACAAAACAAAAACTAGAAGCCTCACCCTCCTTTGACAGGATCCCTCATCAACCTTCTGACTGCCTCTCTGCAGGGGAAGCTCTCTTCTCAATTCCCACAACCCTCTGCTCTGCCCTGAAGACTCAGGATCTCTTCTGCGGTGTGGCTATAATCATCTCCTTAAGACCACAGGGCAAACTCCCCAGGTTGGCGCTGGGTTCAGCCTCAGTCTCTGAAAGTACGCCTGTCAGGCCGGGGCACTGACTGCACTCTTCTCCCCAATCTCACCCTCCCCCCGCCGCCCTCCCTGGCCCCCACCTTATCCTCCCCATGACAAGCTGTAACTGTTTCCAGCACGTTTCGCTCGCCTGAGTTCCAGATCTCGATGTGCCACCGGCTTCAGGGCAAGAGCAAATCAAAAATGTTTCGGGCGCCGCTCAGAAAGCCCACTGCCGGGTGGTGAGCCTCTTGTGATGTAACGTACAGAAATGGCATATCACTGTGCTGGGTACAGCGTTATCCGTCAGTTATGCTTCAGACAAAATGTCATAGAAAAAGACTGGATTTGTGGTTATCAGAGGCAGGGGGTGGGGGAAGCGGGGATCGGATGAAGGTGGTCAAAAGGGACAACCTTCCAGTTATAGACAGTACTAGGGTTGTAATGTGTTGTTGCTGTTGTTTACTCGCTGACGTTGTCTCCAACTCTTTTGTGGCCCCGTGGACTGCAGCCCGCCAGGCTCCTCTGTCCCTGGGATGTTCCAGGCAAGAGTATTGGAGTGGGTTGCATTGCCTCCTTCAGGGGATCTTCTCAAACTAGGGATAGATCCCGCATCTCTTACATGTCCTGCATTGGCAGGAGGATTCTTTACTGCTGAACCACCAGCAAAGTCCTGGTGTAATGTACAGTATGATAAGCGTAATTAACACTGTCGTATGTTATATATGAAAGTTGTTAAACAGAGTAAATCCTGAGTTCTCATTACAAGGAAAAAATTTTTCATTTTGTATCTGTGTGAGATGATGGATGCTCACTAAACTTACTGTAATCTTTTCATGATTATGTGAGTTACAGTGCTGAATGTCAATTATGTCAGTGAACTAGAAGCTTATAGGTAAATAAATAGATGAATGAATGAATGAAACCCCACTGCTGGGCTGCATTCCACCTTTTCCTCATGTTCCCTGGGTGAAAGTGCCCCGACTCGTGACAGGCCCACAAAGAACATTTGAGTGTCCTTTTGAACTGCACATGCGTCTACAGTCATACCACCCTGAACGCGCCTGATCTCGTCTGAACTGCACATGTGTAATGTCATAAACCGTGCTCATTCTTTTCAAACCACGCCTCTCACTTTCCTCTCCTCGATTTAACGTTCACTGAACCAAATTCAGACATGCTTAACCCATTTAGGGTTGAGGAGATTTTCAGGCAGATGTGGAATACCCTTCAAGAGCCATTCTGGCCAAACTTCTCCCCGTGGCGAAATTCTGCGCGGCTACCTCTGCTTGTCTTTCAAAAGCGAGGACTCAATTGCCTGTGGTACTGTCACGGCCCAGCTGCAGAATCCAGCCACAGCTATCCTTTCTGCAATCTACCAGCATTGCTAGATCCTGCAAGAGGCTTGTGTGGTCACAACACATCCGCCTCAGAGAGAAATGGCTCTTGATTAGTGGCTCTGAGGAAAATGCCACCCCCCCCCCCCCCCACTTAATTAAATCTAGACATCCAGTTGGGGATTTTCAGTTCACCCAAAACACCTGCCCAGCAGCCTGGCAGGAACTAACCCCCAGGCCCTGCTACTCACCAGGAGGCCAGCTGGCTCTCTGTGGAGGTGGAGGCCGCCATTTACTCTCCACCGGCCCTCATTCTCTTCACTTGGGTTTTCTTTTCCAGCCTGGCTTTGTTCTCCCCAGCAGTGGCAACTCCTCCGGGTCCCCAGTCTGCTGAATTTGGATGTGGGGCGTCTAGGTGTCTTCAGACGCCAACAGTCACTTGTCTAGTTTTCATTCAGCATGAAAGTGCTGCTTCCCTTTCCCGCAGGCCCTTCGGTCCCATCAGTACCTCCAGCCTCTCAGAAAGAATAATATAAAGCAAGATGATTGTTCCAGAAAGTCAAATCCACCAATCTGGTTCCATGAGCATCAGCTCTCTGGCCCTCTGCGGAATGAACCCTTCAAAGAGCTCCTCACCAGGGATGCCCCTGGACAGGCGAGATGCATGCTGAAGGCGGTGCTCTGAAGCAGTGTCTAGCTTGTCTTCTTCAAAGCCATTCTGAAGGCTTCTTTTTTAAAGTTTGAAACTTCCCGTTCAAAGATCAGTCCCTTGGCCCTACAATAAACACAAAGCATAGATTATTTTAGAATCCCATGAGTGAGCATGTGACCCAGCAGAGCCAAGCAAATGGTATGCTTCAAAAGAGCTTTCCAGAAAGTTGAAGTGTGTTTCAAGATCCAAAAGAGAGGGGAGCAAAACCTCAGAGTAAGTCCAACAGTTAACTTGTAAAAGTGATGTCACACGTAAGATAAAATTAAATAACCGGTGTGAAAAAGCTTTGGGTGTTGAGCACAGCGATACAAATGAAGCAGCTGCTGTAGTAATAATGGAACTCAGATTAAGGAACTGTCACCTCGACAGCCCCAAAAGTAATCTAAACAAAAGTAATCTAAATGCCCAGAGCTGGGCATGTTTCCAAAAGACAGAGAATTTAACAAGTGACATTCAAACTCCCACAAGAAGAGAGAAAACTCATGAAATTTCAAACTGAGAAAGGATGCGGGCATCACTTTAATCCTCTCTTGTAGTCTCCTTCAGTAACTACCTTGACTGGCTTCCTCCCTCCAGAGACAGGACAGTGTTAAATTTATCCTTCCACTAAGCTGAAACTGGCCTTCAGGTAAATGCCACACTCTCCAGGAAAAGAAAACAAGGTCTGATACTTTGGTCACTTCAAATCTGTATTACCAACTGTCACTTTCTCCAAGCTCAGTGTCCCCAGGGACGTGGTTTCAAATGCTTGCTCACCATCTGCCATCCTCCTGGGAACACAAGGGAGTTTTGTTTTTTCAAGTTCCTTTGATAGATGTCCCTAGAGAGGACACCACTGAGTGTTTGGTGGCCTGTAAAACCTCTGTCTTTTCTCAGCTTTTCATATCTTGGGGTGGGCCTCACTAGGATCATACTCATGGCATCTGCGAAGTATATTCAGATGCCTATGGAGGCGGTATCTAAGCCCCCTGGGGCCAGACTGCAGCCTGAAACCCCCATCCCTTGTTCCCAGAGGACTGGGCCGTCCTCTGCCAAGGTCCACTCGCTTATCTGGAAGGTCCAGAAGGAGCCGGTAATGGTCCAAGGGTAAGGCAACTGTAGGGAGGTGGCCACAGAAGTCCCTGGAGGTGGGGCGGGGCGGCGATGAAGTGTGGCCTCAGGGTCTGCAGAGCGGGCAAAGGGGCGCTACCGACCGCGAAGGGCCGGGAAGCGATGGCTAACCGCAGGTGGCAGGGAGACGTGTCTGGCCTCAGCTTCAGGGAGCTGGCATTGGTGGACAAAAAGGCGAGGGGTCAATTGGGGCCCGGGTCACAGCACGGAGGGGCGCCCAGAAGGCGCTCTCCGCCTTGTCCCCCCGCCCCCCCTTCGGTGTCCCTGCGCCGCCGAGCGCCGCCCACCCGCCGGGGTCGCCAGGCAGCCCCGGGGTCGGTGATCGGCCTTCGGGGCCCGATGGTCCCAGCGATTCCCGCCCGGTACCTACGCGCGCTGCGGAGCGGTCCCAGGGTCACACGCCACCTGAGCCTACCTCCCCCCGCCTGAAGTTCGTGCAGGGCTGGCGCTCGCCGATGACGTAGGGTCGAGCGCGCCGCGACGTCGGAGGCCCATGGCGGCAGCGGCGGCGTGTTTTGTTTTTTCAAGTTCCTTTGATAGATGTCCCTAGAGAGGACACCACTGAGTGTTTGGTGGCCTGTAAAACCTCTGTCTTTTCTCAGCTTTTGATATCTTGGGGTGGGCCTCACTAGGATCATACTCATGGCATCTGCGAAGTATATTCAGATGCCTATGGAGGCGGTATCTGAGCCCCCTGGGGCCAGACTGCAGCCTGAAACCCCCATCCCTTGTTCCCAGAGGACTGGGCCTCCTCTGCCAAGGTCCACTCGCTCATCTGGAAGGTCCAGAAGGAGCCGGTAATGGTCCAAGGGTAAGGCAACTGTAGGGAGGCGGCCACAGAAGCCCCTGGAGGTGGGGCGGGGCGGCGATGAAGTGTGGCCTCAGGGTCTGCAGAGCGGGCAAAGGGGCGCTACGGACCGCGAAGGGCCGGGAAGCGATGGCTAACCGCAGGTGGCAGGGAGACGTGTCTGGCCTCAGCTTCAGGGAGCCGGCATCGGTGGACAAAAAGGCGAGGGGTCAATCGGGGCCCGGGTCACTGCACGGAGGGGCGCCCAGAAGGCGCTCTCCGCCGTGTCCCTCCCCCACCCCCCCTCGGTGTCCCTGCGCCGCCGAGCGCCGCCCACCCACCGGGGTCGCCAGGCAGTCCCGGGGTCGGTGATCGGCCTTCGGGACCCTATGGTCCCAGCGATTCCCGCCCGGTACCTACGCGCGCTGCGGAGCGGTCCCAGGGTCACGCGCCACCTGAGCCTACCTCCCCCCCGCCTTAAGTTCGTGCAGGGCTGGCGCTCGCCGATGACGTGGGTCGAGCGCGCCGTGACGTCGGAGGCCCATGGCGGCGGCGGCGGCGGCCCGAGAAGCCTGGCAGGCGGCATCTCCGCGGAGAAGGCGCTCGGCGGCTCGGCGTCCGAAGCGGAGGGAGGCTGCGGCGGCCGCCGGGAACCCGGGAGCCGAGCCTGAGGTGGAGGGCGGAGTCGTGCTTCGTCGCATCCAGGAGGCCAAGTAAGGACGGACTCGGTCCTGGGTCCAAACTTGAAGCCCTTGGGAGCCTCCGCGAGCCCCAGTCTCGCCATTTGTTACCTTTAACGCTCAGGGTTTGAGGGTTATGGGTGGAGGTAACGGAGGTAAAGAGCTCATTATTTTTATCAGCATGCAATAACGTCTCTCACGGCAGTGGCAGCTGCGTGGCCGGTGGGCGTGAAGATAGTAATAGAACCTATATAGGCTTGTTTCGAGGCTTCAGTGGATTAGTAAATGCTTGCACCATTCCAGTGTCTGGCGCGTGGTAAGCGCGCTACCCGTGTTCGGTGTGAATATTATGTTAATATTGGTCATCAGTGGTTTTGCTCGCACCAGGGCCCCAGCCTATACGCGTGATAGTCATCTTCACGAGTCTCATCCAATGGTTAATTAATTGAGGAGCAGCTCTGTGCCTGACACTGGCTTAAGCGCTCTTTATGGACAGTGGACATCTCAACCAGTCTTGGGTCCCGATCGGGCGCCGAGTCTCAAAGAAATATAATTTCTAGACGTGTATAGAACCAGGTTTCAAACCTTTGTCTTTGGTAACTTCAAGTTCTATTCAGTCGCTCTATATTCATCGGGGGTTTGATTTAAGTCCTACCTGATTAGCCTAGTGGTTTTCCCCACTTTCTTTAGTTTAATCCTGTATTTTGCTGTAAGGAGCTGATGATCTGAGCTATAGTCAGCTTCTGGTCTTGTTTTTGCTCACTGTATATAGCTTCTCCATCTTCGGCTACAAAGAATGTAATCAGTCTGATTTTGATATTGACCATTTGGTGATGTCCATGTGTAAAGTCATCTCTTGTGTTGTTGAAAAAGGGTATTAGCTATGACCAGTGCATTCTCTTGGCAGAATTTTGTTAGCCTTTGTCCTGCTTCATTTTGTACTCCAAGGCCAAACTTGCCTGTTGATACTCCAGGTATCTCTTGACTTCCTACTTTTGCATTCCAGTCCCCTATAATGAATAGGACATCTTTTTTTGGTGTTGGTTCTAGGAGGTCTTCTAGGTCTTCACAGAACTGATCAACTTCAACTTTTTCGGCATCGGGGTTGGATTACTGTGATACTGAATGGTTTGCCTTGGAAACAAGCTGAGATCATTCTGTCATTTTTGCAGTTGCACCCAAGTACTGCATTTCAGACTCCTGTTGACTCTGGGAGCCACTCCATTTCTTCTATGGGATTCTTGCCCACAGAGGAGATACAGTGGTCATCTGAATTAACTTCACCCATTCCCCTCCATTTTAGTTCACTGATTCCTAAGATGTTGATGTTCACTCTTGCATCTCCTGCTTGACCACGTCCAGTTTACCTTGATTCATGGACCTAACATTCCATGTTCCCATGCAGTACTGTTCTTTATAGCATCAGATTTTACTTTCATCATGAGACACATTCTCAGTTGAGTGTCATTTCCACTTTGGCCCAGCCGCTTCATTCTTTCTGGAGCTGTTAGTAGCTGTCCTCCACTCTTCCCCGGTAGCATATTGGACACCTTCTGACCTGGGGGACTCATCTGTCGGTGTCGTATCTTTTTGCCTTTTTATAGTGTTTTTATGGGGATCTGGTATCTTGGAGTGTGTGTGTGTATCACAATTCCTGTGCCCTTTCTTCCGTGATGGACACATAGGTTGTTCCCACATCTTGGCTGTTACAGATAGTGCTGCAGTGAACGTCGGGCGTGAATGCAGTGAATGTGTATGTATTTTCAAAATAGTGTTTTCATTTTTTTTGGAAGAATACCCACAAGTGGAATTGTTGGCTCAAATGGTAGTTCTTTTTTTTTTTTTTTGATGTGGACCATTTTTAAAGTCTTCATTGAGCTTGTTACAACGTTGTTTCTGCTTTATGTTTTGGCGGCCTTTTTTTTTTTTTTGGCCAAGTCACATATGGGATCTTAACTCCCCAGCCAGGGAGGGAGCCCACACCCACTTTGTTAGAATGTGAAGTCTTAACCACTGGACTGCCAGGGAATCCCTCAAATGGTAGTTCTGTTTTTAAGTTTTTGATGGAGCCTCACACTCTTTCCCATAGTGGCTGCACCAGTCGACATTTCTACCAGCAGTACACCAGAGTTCTCCTTTCTTCACATCCTTACCAACACTTGTTATTTCTCCTTTTTTTTTTTTTTTGATATAGCCATCCTAACAGGTATGAGGTGGTAACTCATGTGGTTTTGACTTGCCTACTGTTTAGTGATGTTGAGCATCTTTTCATGAACCTGTTGGCTATCTGTATGTCATCTTTGGAAAAAATGTGTGTTCAGATCTTCTGCCCAGATTTTAATTGAATTGTTTGGGGTTTTCTTGCTGTTGCGTTGTGTGTTCTCTATATGTTTTGGATATTAACCCCTTATCAGATACATGATTTGCAGATATTGTCTCGCATTCAGTATGTTGCCTTTTCATTTTGTCCATGGTTACATTTAACATGCAGAAGCTTTTAGTATGACGTAGTTCCACTTGTTTATTTTTGCTTTTGTTCCTTGTACTCTTGGTTTTAGATTTAAAATATCATCACCAAAAATTTTTTAATAAATACAAACAAAAAAGCATCGCAGATACTTGTGTCAAGGAGTTTACTGCCTGTGTCTGCTTCCAGGAGTTTTATGGTTTCAGGTCTTTCTAAAAATATACTCAGTTTTATTTGCTTGTCTGGCTGCACTGGTTCTTAGTTGCGGCACGCACCATCTTTTAATTGCAGCTTGTGAGATCTAGTTCCCCAACCAGGCATCAAACCCATGCCTCCTGCATTGGGAGTGTGGAGTCTTAGCAACTAGACCACCAAGGACGTCCTGGTCTCAAGTCTTATATTTAGGTCTAAATCCATTTTGAGTTAAGCTTTGTGTATGGTATAAGATAGCGGTCTAGTTTTATTCCTTTTTTTTTTTTTTTAATGTGGCTGTCAGTTTTTCTAAATGCAGTTAATTAAAGAGACTGTCTTTTCCATTTTACATTCTTAGCTCCTTTGTTGTAAATTAACTGACCATAGATGGGTGGGTTTATTTCTAGGCTATGTTCTGTTTCATTGATCTATGTGTGTTTTTAAACCAAAACGATACTGTTTTAATTACTATAGCTTTGTAATAGATTTTGAAATCAGAGGACATGATACCTCTAGCTTTGTTCTTCTTTCTCAAGATTACTTTGGCTATTTGGAGTCTTTTGTGGTTCCATACAAATCTTAGAATTGTTTGTCCTGTTTCGTTAAAAATGCCATGGGAATTTTGATAAGGATTGCATTGAGTCTGTAAATTGCTTTGGGTAGTATGGACATTTTAACGTTAATTGCAATCCATGATCAGGAAATATGTTTCCATTTATTTGTGTCTTCTTCAGTTTTCTTTCTTTACTATCTTGTCTTTTTCAGTATACAAGTCTTTCACTTCCTTGGTCACTTTTATTCTTAGGTATTTTATTCGTTTTTAGGTGTTCTTTTTGATGCAGTTGTACATGAGATTTTTTTTTTTTCTGATCAGTAGTTTTTATTGAAGTATAGTTGATATACAGTGTGTTAATTTCTGTTGTACAACAAAGTGATTCATTTATACATATATTGATATATATGTTATCTTATATATTCTTTTCATTATGGTTTATCATAGGACATTGAATATACTTCTCTGCGCTATACAGTAGGACCTTGTTGCTTATCCATTCTCTAATATAAAAGCCTGTATCTGCTAACCCCAACCTCCCACTCCAGCCCTCTCCCACCCCCTCTGCTTTGGGGGCCACTAGTCTGTTCTGTATGTCCATGAGTCTGATTTGGATTTACAGGTGAGGTCATTTGTGTCGTATTTTAGATTCCACATATAACTGATACCATATGGTCTTTGTCTTTCTGACTTAAGTCACTTAGTGTGGTGATCTCTACTTCCAGCTACGTTGCTGCAAATGGCCTCTTTTTTATGGCTGAGTAGTATTCCATTACACACACACACACACACACACACACACACACACACACCTGCTTTATTCATCTGTCAATTAACGTTTAGGTTGTTTCCATGTGAATAGTGCTGCTCTGAATATAGATTTACATGTATCTTTTTAAATTATAGCTTTGTTTGGATATATGCCCAGGAGTGGGATTGCTATATCACATGGTTATTCTGAGTTTCCTGAGGAACCTCCGTAAGTGTTTTCCACAGTGGCTGCACCAACTTATATTCCCACCAACAGTGTAGGAGGACCCCCTTTTTCTCCATGCCATTCTCCAGTATTTGATATTAGTAGACTTTTTAAAGCCATTCTGATTGATGTGAGATGGTAGCTTATTGTAGTTTTGATTTGTACTTCTCTAATAATAAGCCATGATGAGCATCTTTTCATGTGCCTATTGGCCATCTGTATTTCTTCTTTGAAAAAAGGTCTGTTTAGGTCTTATGCCCATTTTTCAGTTGGGCTGTTTTGTTTTTTGTTGTTGTGTGAGCTCCTTATATATTTTGTAAATTAAACCCTTGTCAGTTGCATTGTTCACATATTTTACCCCATTCTTTACGTTGTCTTTTCATTTGTGGTTTCCTTTGCTGTGCAAAAGCTTGAGTTTTTAAGTTTGATTAGATCCCATTTAGGGCTTCCCTTGTGTCTCAGTTGGTAAAGAATCTGCTTGCAGTGCATGGGTTCAATTCCTGGGTTGAGAAGATCCTCTGGAGAAGAGAGAGTCTACCCACTCCAGTATTCTGGCCTGGAGAATTCCATGGACTATATAGTCCATGGGGTCTCAAAGAGTCAGACATGACTTAGCGACTTTCACTTTACTTCACTTGATTTATTTTTTGTTTCTATTGCCTTGAGAAATTGACCTAAGAAAACATTGGTATAACTTATGTCAGAGAATGTCTTGCCTGTGATATCTTCTAGGACTTTTATGGTGCCATGTATTATATTTAAGTCTTTAATCCGTTTTGGGTTTCTTTTTGTGTATGGTGAGATGATGTGTTCCAACATCACTGATTTACATGGGGCTTTCCCCA